GAAAAAAAGGATGACGAAACGAAAAAAAAAGGATGACGAAACGAAAAAAAAAGGATGACGAAATGGAAAAAAAGGACAATGAAACGAAAAAAAAGGACAACGAAAACGAAAAAAAAGGGCAACAAAACGAAAAAAAAGGAAAAAAAAAGAAAAAAAAAGGACAACAAAACAAAAAAAAAAGGACAACAAAACAAAAAAAAAGGGCAACAAAACGAAAAAAAAAGGAAAAAAAAAGAAAAAAAAGGACAACAAAACGAAAGCAAAAGGACAACAAAACGAAAAAAAAAGGACAACAAAATGAAAAAAGGACAACGAAACGAAAAAAAAGGACAACGAAACGAAAAAAAAGGACAACGAAATGAAAAAAAAGGGTCTAAAAGAAGACCTAACAAGAGAAAACCTAGAGATAGTCCTAAAAAAAAGATGAAAAAAAATATGATAAAACCACACAAAAACCCAACCCACACTCTCTAAAGGAAGACGTAAAGAAAAGGGCCTAAGAGATAGAAGAAAAGCCTAGGCAGAGTGTTGAAAAAAAAAGACGACAAAAGTGTATATTGTGTATATATAATATTGTTAGCTGACGAAAAAAAGATGATGAAAAAAAAAGTATATTGAGAGTATATAAATACTTTTTCGAATACACAATAAGATAGTTAGGGAGTATAGTATCTTGCATAATACAATTGTTTGACAATACAATTGTTTTGACAATACAGTTATTTCTGGGTTTGAAAAAAAAACTGGAAATAAAAAAAAATAATAAAAAAAAGCCTCGGGCAAGCACGATATACTGCGGCTGATCACATCATCCGTAAACTTTGTCACCAGTATAACGTGATAATAGTCTCGTATGTTACACGTTGATTATCAATTGATTACTTCATTGAATAAATTTATATTATCTTCTTGATATTCTCACGGGTGGTGTTTATTTAAAAAGATAGGTAAAAAGTCTATCAATCATCATTAGTCAAATAAGTATATTAAAGGCTTTATGGTATGGATACCGTGAGATAAATCAGTTATTTTACGGAGTCACTGGAATATCATGATTTTCACGGATTTAAGAGGAACAACAAAAGAAACAAATGAAAAAAGAGGAACTACTATCATTTATCCCATTAAACTGTTAAAAGATGAAAAAGAAAATTATACTTTTGTTCATAATCCTGAAACCAGTCATTATCATACTCGTGGAATTGAAATTGGAATTTCAGGTATATGTAGATTTGTGGAGTATTCTGATGATAGTGAAAGTTCCGATCCAAGAATTTATGTGACTGATAACAAATGTTTTGTTTTAAAGAAATTCGTAATATTAAATTTTCATGGTATACATAATTTTAATTGTAATGACGGTTTTCAATTAAGTAGGAAATTTAATTATCCAAATGTATCAGACGTGAATTAGATTCATTAGGTTCTTCAGAAATATCTGATTGTGTGGATATACTTCTCTCTTGTGTTTATGATAAATACTTTCTGGTTGAGCAATATAAAAATAATGTACAATTGCTTGAAGGTAATAATCAAATTTTTTTCAAAAGTTTATCGTCACATTATAATCATTAATTTTTTTTTTTTAATCTTTTAGTTTACGGTCTAGCAAAAATGAAATTGGAAACTATCACAAAAAGAGTCGAAAATAGTCAAAATAAACTTACAAGAAAGTATAATAGAAATATTTTCTCAGTTAGTAAGAACAAATTATACCTTTGCTTTACACGAAGAATTCAATCTGTCAAGTGAGTAGCAATTCACGTTTCACGTATTAAAGTTTCACATATTAAATTTCACGAATTAAATTTCACGTTGAAATATTCAATAAATAAAAAATTATTATGGTTTACTTTCTTAAGGACACTTTTCTTTTATTAAACAGCTTCTTCAGTACTTTTTGGCACTGATTTTATAAAATTTATTTATTTTATTTATTTTTTTTTTTCTAAATTACTTTTAACATAATCGAACACTAACATTCATGATTTTATTTATCTTTACAGCGCTTATCTACAACTGAATTAGAAGAAATATGAAAAAAGAATGAACAACTAATATATAATTATTTCTGTTGTTATAGGATTACAATGAGAAAGAAATCTATACCATTACCAATTGATACTTAATAAATTTATTTTATACAAGAATAATTTTTTAATTTAGAACATTATTACAAAAAAAGATCATTATTAATATATTATTAAACGATATTAAATTTTAAGTGATTTATTCATAAATTTTCATCCACCATTTATTTTGGTTTCCCATTAACATAAACTCTCTCGACCTATTCTTAACAAACATATCATAAACATCTATTTAATTAAAAATAACAAAAAAATTTAAAAACTAAAAAATATCTTTTATAAATTTGATTTGTCTTTACCAGGGGTGTAGATTATAAGGCATTCGATAGAAATTTTAATCTCCAAAAGTGTAAATGATGAGTATTCAATATTTAAGTACATCTTACTGAGATGAATTTTTTTAATCCTCAAAATTTACTAATAAATAAAATAAGATGAATTGACCTCTATTCATATTAGAGATGCCAACGGTCGGTTCGGTTCGGTTTCGGTTTTAAAACTGCAGTTTTCAACCAAAACCGAACCGACCACAAAACCGACCGGTAAAACTGAACTACAAACCTGATTGCAAAACTACTGCAAAACTGAATAAAATAATGCCATAAAGTATTAACTATAATTTTTTGAATAATATTCTTTAAGTTTACGCAATTTTTTTTACAACAATAACGCCGATGTTGTGATTTTTCAGATAAACGAAAAATCACGCGAGAATACTATACACAAAAACACTAAAATCATAGCTTTTAATGATATTCTCAATAAACAATGAAATCTTTTTTTTTTCGGGTCAAAAAAACCGATAGGTTAATTGTAAATTTTTACAGCAAATTTCAAAATATACGGGACACTTGAGAAATTTGATTGTCGGGTTGTCGGGTAGCCGGGTTACTCGGCAGTAGGTTATTATATAATCTGATATACTACTATTCATTATACTCGTCACGTGTTATTTATACTTTTCTAATAAACAACCTACTGAAGAGTAACCCGGCTACCCGACAACCCGACAATCAAATTTCTCAAGTGTCCTGTATATTTTGAAATTTGCTTTAATATATTCTATAAAACCAACGGTTAACCGGCCGGTCGGTCTTGGACTGAAACCGAACCGATAACCGAACCGGTAAAAACCGGTTATGATCGGTTATAACCAAACTTTTGGCATCCTTAATCCATATTGCCTTGGATCTCAAATTATTTTAAAAAATTTACTCTAAAATAAATGATAAACAAGCATTTGAATTTTTTGACCTGTAAAAAACTATATTGGAACATTAGATCTATTTAATAGTAACAAAAAGATTTTTAATCAGAAAAATTGTAATTATGCAAAAAAATCAAATCTGCGTGAAGTTAATTGATAATTTGGTGTATAGATCTAAATTCTTCAGGATCATTATTTTGTAGCAATAAAACTAAAATGATATCCTTCCCTATTTGGCCTAATTATGCAATTCTCTATTTAACAAAAATTTTTGACCATTGTAAATCACATAACTGATTCCTTCTAAGTCCCTTCCTACAGCAGGGAATTTTTATGATGGTAACTAATTGGAAGAAGAAACCCCATTTACTCAGAATATTTAATTATCAATAATTTTCAATATTCTGTAATTTTCAATCTATAAATAGAAAATTTATTTACGGGTATCCTGTTTAATAAATTTGTTTTGTTTTTCATTTTTACTATTAAATAATTTATTTATTATAATTGAGAGAATTTATTCTTAGAAAAATAGAGAGTTTTATATAATTTGTTTAAAAAATATTATAGAAAAAATTACAAAAATAGGTTATAAAATATAGTTATTGGGTAGGGCGGATAAACTGCGTTATTATGCAGGCGTCCATGTTTCAATTGCTTCATATAAATAAACTCAATTTACTTATTCTGTGGAAAAAAAATTTTCCATAAAATTTTTTTATGACTAATGATTATATTGATCCATGCGATCACGCATAACATTTAAATTTACTACTTATAGTTACGCTTAAAAATATTGTACACCACTAAACTAGTTTCGCCTAAATAATCTACAAAAACATTTTTCAAATTTGGGTTTCAGAAGTTTCATTTTATATTGGGAGAAACTTGGGCGAAAACGTTTCGGCCGAAATTATAATTAAAATATTATATAAGTTTGAGAACGACTCTTTTGAAACCACGAAATTTTCGTATGATTAAATCCAAGGAATATTTTTATTCCGATTCATTTTCAATAAATTGTTTGATTTCTTCTTATTCAATAATTCCCAAATTTGGCAACATGTGCTTAAGATCCTAAATTAAAAAGAATTAAAAAATTTTTGTTGAATTATTTAAATTAGGGCCGATATACATAAAAAAACAAAACAAGTGACTAGTTTGATCGGCACAAAATTACACATAATTATCACAAACCAATTATATTTGCCCTGAACTTTTTTTGTACAACATGAAAACATCAAATTTTGCATATATTATTTACGTAGTACTTGCTTAGCCTAATTTACAAAATAAATAATTTTCTTTTTCAACTCTTCCAATTTAAATTTTAAAAATCTCAATAATAATTATAATGGTTGATAATAAACTTTTATCAAAATTATCTCAAAATTTGCTTGAAGTTTTAAATGATGAAGAATATTATGATATTACTATTGAAGTTGGTAATGATCCTTATATAAAAATATTTCGAGCGCATATCGTTATTTTAAATTATCGTTCCCCTTATTTGAAAAGAATTTTGTCAACTAATAAAAAGAAAAATGATGGAACTTTGACGCACGTTAAATTATCAAATGTTTCGCCGGAAATTTTTCAAGTAATTTTAAGGTAATAAGGAATTTCAAATAAATAGTTTTTTTTTTAAAGTAGAAATATATATTAATAAATTTTTTTCTTCCAGGTATATTTATGGGGGAAGAATTCCTTTGGAGGAATGTGATACTTCAGATATAATTAAAATTTTGGACGCCGCTAATATATTGAGTCTTCAAGAATTAATCATTTATTTACAATCCTTTTTAATTGAAAATAAAACGAAATGGATGGAAGAAAATTTTGATTTAATATATCGAACAAGTTTCGAAAATAATACTTTCTTAGAACTTCAAAAATATTGTACTGATTTAATATCAAAAGAACCAGCTAAAATATTCAAATCACCAAATATTTCTTCAATTCCAGAAAAACTTTTAATTTCTATTATTCAAAATGATTATCTTCAAATGAACGAAGTTCAAATTTGGGATCAATTGATTAAATGGGGACTCGCTCAACATCCTGAACTTCCCTCTGATTTTACAAATTATTCAAAAAATGATTTTAAAACTTTAAAGAATACCATACAACAATGTATCCCATTTATTAGATTTTATAATTTATCATCTAAAGAATTTACGGATAACGTATTACCTTATAGAAAACTTTTACCAAAGGAATTATATGAAGATTTATTGAAAACTTTTTTGACCCTTTCAGATCCTAATAGTAAACCAGAAAATAAATCAAGACCTCGTATAATTAATGACATTAAGTTAAGTTTACCAAATTATGAGAATGTTAGTGATCAAGTTGAAAATAATAAATCTATGGTTAATATGACTTCTTATAATTGGAAAGTCACTGAAGAAGATAGTAAAAAACGGGAAGAACTTAGAAAATCGAAAGAAATATTAAAAGAAAAACTTAATAAGTTGAGACATTCAATGTTGAAAAACCCCACCGAAGAACAAAGCAAATGGTGGGAAGTAGTTACCGAAGAACCTAAAAAATGGGATGAACCTACCGAAGAACAAAACAATTGGTTGGAAGAAGAACCTAAAAAATGGGAAGAACCTACCAAAGAACAAAATGAGTGGTGGGAACCTACCGAAAAGTGGGTGAAATCTGCCAAAAGCTCTAATGAAAAGTGGGTGAAACCTTTCAAAAGCCCTAATGAAAAGTGGGTGAAATCTGCCAAAAACCCTAATGAAAAGTGGGTGAAATCTGCCAAAAACCCCAATGAAAAGTGGGTGTCTACTAAAAAGTGGGTGAAACCTACCGTCGAAAAACCTAAAAGAGGGGTGGAACCTACCGAAAAATCTAAAACTCTGGTTGAAGAAACGTGGTGGTAAGAACCTACTGAAGAACATAAAAAGCGGGAATATAATGGTGCCGAAGAATTAAAAAATCGGGATAAAACTAAAAAGCGGAATGGCCTAAAACTACTAAAGGATCTTGGGATGAATCACAGAAACATATATGTTCGATATTTGCATTCGGAGAGTGATATAGATCTCAGGTTAAAATGAGAATTTATATTTTGAAAATTAAAAATTCGGACAAGAATTTTCTTATACACTGTAATTATTGTTGTAATTTGTAGTGCTTGTAATGATTAAAAATGACATAATCTTTATAGCTCTCTTTAACTATTTATATACTAAAATTACGCAATAAATAAAGAATATTTTTTATATTATTATACATACAGTAATTAAAAATAAATATTTATAAATCTTTGGCTTTATAGAACAAAACCAATTCGGTAAAAACCGGTGATTGGACTCGTAATAGTTGTCGCATATTTGCGTAAAAACTAATAAAACATTGTACGGCACTCTAAATTCAATTAGAAAGTAATAAATTAAGTGATATTTAATATCATCTCAAAAGTGAATAAAATGAAATTGTGTTCTGCAATAATATTTTTTATTTATATAAATAAATATATATAATGAATTATTAATTAGTGTTTTCATTATCGTTGGAACCATTCAATTAAAAAAAAAAAAAAATGATTTTAAGAAATAGAATGATTAATTAAATAATTATACAGTTTATTAAGCCTAAAAGAAGTATATAGGTGGGGAGATCGGCACACCGGCACTATGTAATGCTGGTCGGCATTATCATTTTAAATTTGCGCACAAATTATAACAGATGGGTTGCTAATATCAAAAAATTTTTAAAAAACAAAAAATCGCACATGATTTTTGATTATTGCCATACTCTACGCACACATCGCACACATCAGATAATGATCGAGGTTTTGCGTAAGCCACAAAAACGCGTTAAGCCGTTAATGGTTAGTCCATTAGAACTTAGTTCTTATGAAAGTGCTTGTTTACTATGGATAGATTTGGACATATTAGCGTGCACATACATATAGCGCACATGATTTTCAATATTGCTCACTTCCTTTTGAATTTTTGACCTTTCTAAATATTTATTTGATGATAGATCGGCATGTAGCACATAACCTGAATTGCGAATGAATCACAAAATAAAGTTGTTCAGTTTTTTGACAATTTCTTCTTCATAACTTAAAAATGACTGATGATAAACTTTCGTCAAAATTAACCCAAAATTTACTTGAAATTCTAAATGATGAAGAATATTATGATGTTACTATTGAAGTTGGTAATGATCCTTATATAAAAATATTTCGGGCGCATATGGTTATTTTATATTATCGTTCCCCTTATTTGAAAAGAATTTTGTCAACTAATAAAAAGAAAAATGATGGAATTTTGGAGCACGTTAAATTACCAAATATTTCACCGGAAATTTTTCAAATAATTTTAAGGTAAAAACAATAAAAAATAGTTCGTTATTTTTTTTTTTTAGAAAGTAGAAATATATTTATAATTTTTTCTTTTTCTCAGTTATATTTATAGAGGAAAAATTTCTTTGGAGGAATGTGATACTTCAGATATAATTAAAATTTTAAGTGCCGCTTGTATACTAAGTCTTCAAGAATTAGTCGTTTATTTACAATCCTTTTTAATTGAGAATAAAACAAAATGGATGGAAGAAAATTTTGGTTTAATATATCAAACAAGTTTTGAAAATAATTCTTACTTGGAACTTCAAAAATATTGTACTGATTTAATATCCAAAGAACCAACTAAAATATTCAAATCCCTAAATTTTTCTTCAATTCCGGAAAAACTTTTAATATCTATTATTCAAAATGATTATCTTCAAATGAACGAAGTTCAAATTTGGGAACGAGTGATTAAATGGGGTCTCGCTAAAAATCCCGAAAAATGATATCAAAATTTTAAAGAATACATTACAACAATGTATTCCGTTTATTAGATTTTATAATTTATCATCTAAGGAATTTACTGATAATGTATTACCTTACAGAAAACTTTTACCAAAGGAATTATATGAAGATTTATTGAAAACTTTTTTGAATCTTTTGGATACTAATAGTAAACCAAATGATAAATCAAGACCTCGTCTTAATAATGACGAGTTATCTCACTTACCTGAGACGATTGATAATGAAAATACCAAAAAACAACCTCAATTATATTCGGAATCAACTTCCAGTTCTCGATATTTGGAACAGCCTGACGAACAGCCCGACAAAGAAACAGCCTGGGGCAGCTGGGGACCTAAAAATTCTCAGCAATCTGACGAAGAATCAGCCTGGGACAGCTGGAAACCTAAAAATTCTCAGCAACCTGACGAAGAAACAGCCTGGGGCAGCTGGGGACCTAAAAATTCTCAGCAACCTGACGGCGGCAGCAACAGGAAAATTAACGAAGCATCAACCTGTGGCAGCCGTGAACCTAAAAATTTTCAGCGGCCTGACGGCGGCAGCAACAGGCACAGACCTAGAAATTCTCAGCGGCCTGATGGCGGTAGCAACAGGCACAGACCTAGAAATTCTCAGCAGTTTGACGGCGGTAGCAACAGGCGTGGCGGCTACGGACGGAACGGACCTAGATATTCTCAACAGCCTGACGACGAATGGTGGTGATTATTCAAATGACATCCCAAGAGTCTAGATATTTGGAAACAGCTATCAGACCTCAGCCTTACGAAGAATCTAGATTTATTCGACCAGACCTCAGAAAACACGCTCGATATTTGGGAATTGGAGAAAGTAATATGGTATCAAAATTGTGAATTTTAAATTATTGTGGATCTCGCATAAATTGAGTTGAGAAAGTTAGTCCATTTACTCCATTAGTTAAGAATTTATTTTTTGTAGATAAAGAACATTTTCAATTTAGTGAATTGTAAATGAAATCTCAATAAATGATATATATTAAATGAATATAACGTTTTATTAAACAGCTTTTAACTTTACGCAGTAGCGACAAAATCAAATAAAATTAAAAATTCCCGTTATTCATGAACGTTCGGCTTATACCGACAGTTTTGTAATCAATTTACGGAAACCGAAGTCCGAATCGGTAAAGACCAGTTAATGATCGGTTATAACCGAACCCGCCCATCGTATTTGTCACATATTTGGGTAAAAAATGATAAACTACGGTATTCTAACATAACTGAACCCGAAAATGATATTCGATGCAAAAAAAATCTATCTATAATAAAATGTTTAATCTTTACAGATTGATAAAAAGTGATAAATATTACATATAATGATATGCGTGATTAAATTACAGTAAATGTTTTTGATTTAAATATAAACAAGTATATACTGTATAATGAATTATTAATTAGAAATCCGTTTCCTCCTCATCATCATTTGGAACTATTTAAAATAGAAAAATATTATTAGTTATTTTATTAATGCGAAAAAAAAAAAAAAAATGACGATAATAAAATATTTAATATTTACTGTAATCAGGAATTTCAAGAAATTCTTGCATAGAATCTGTGGTTGAAAGTCTCCGTATTTCTTTATTATTATTTCTATTTAAACCATTTAAACTATTTAAACCTAAAAAATAATAATCATTTTGTTATTAAAAAAAGAATTTATTTATTAATTTAAATAAAAAAAAAAAAAAAACTTTATAATTACGTTCGATTGCTTCTTTAGTGAGAGGAGTTGAAAAAGTTTTATCTTCCTCAACTTCACTAGTTATTGGATGATCCAGTATGATTTTTTGATTTCCTTCATGCTGTGAATTTTTTCGTTGTTGTTTATATAACTCTTGTTTTTTGTTCATTGTATTATTATCTTGTTGAGAGTTTTCCGTTTGTTTTTGAATTGAATTCATGTTAAAAAATTTCGGTTTTAAAAAAAAAATGTATTATGTTTATATAAAGTATAATATATATTTTGTTAAAAAATTTCAGTTTTAACGGAAAAGTATTTTTTTTTTTTGAGAAAAACGAATCCCCCTCGGTATTTATAATTTTTTCCCCCTGATTCTAACTATAATAAAAAACCCCGTTTTCGGGAAAATTCTGTTTATCAATTACGTGTACGGCCGATAATCACAATATATATTATAAATAATAATAACGTAACGTAGCATCATTCTCAAAGAATGTTACACGATTTATTTGGTCATTGAGAAAGTCATAACCGAATTATTATAGAGCTTAAATAAACAAATATTTTTTTCTCTTGGAATTTTCCTTAATCTAGAATAATACTTTAAACGCCCCATTTATGACATATCCAATTGTTCATAACTTAACTGAAATTGTAGCTTGAAACGATTGTTAATAGGCCTATTGTTGTAATACGTATGATCAACATAGCTTATCTGTTATCATAGCTCACTATTAAAATATACCATTATTAGTTTGCATCTGCTGTACGTCATAGACTAATTTTAGATACGTATTTATGCAAACGTTTGCAGATGAGAGCACTTTGTGATATTGTCGTTGGTTATTGAAGAACGTAGTTTATAACTGTACGTCAAGCTGAACAAACCGATGGAGTCCTCAATTCCATATGGTATCCATGTTTATGATTAATAATCCATTGAACCAGTTTCCTGCGGGTTTAAATGTTACGTATTTTCGTCTTGCGTAATAGTTTAATGCAATTCAATTTACCTTTATCCTTTTTTTTAGGGATGTACTTCATTGTCCGATACGGAATTCTTAAATTTTTGTACAACAATAAAATGACTCTGAAAACGTTCCTTCATGGAAAGCATTTTGTCATGATCGTCGTATGACATTCGTACTCTGTAACACTAGTATATATACAGATGCTGTCTCTTATACACATCTAGATGTGTATAAGAGACAGAGTATATATACAGATGCATATCATTTATTATTATTTTTTTCTCCGGGAAAACGTGTATTTTTTTTTTTCCTTCGGTTATTGTTATTTGTTAAAAGGTTCATGGAATATTATAGAACGAATTACTATCAGTGATAGTATCATATACAAATTTAATTTATTATATTTATTACAATTACTTTTCTTTATACAAAAAAAAAAAAATATTTTTTTCCCCGAGATACGTAACGTAAATCTTTGTATTTTCAAATTTCCTTCTTCAAATTATTTCTTCTACATTTTATAAAAATAAAATAAGGTAATATGTTTTTTTCTATGAATTTTATTATTGTTTAACAAATAATATAATAATAAAATATTCATATATCTCATTTAAACCACTTTAGGTTAATAATAATGTCATCTAAAATTCTTAACTCAAAAAATCGTGGAAAATTATTTAATGTATCTGAACGTGATAAAAATTTGATCTCAGGTGCACTTTCTCTTATATGGGTAAAAACTAATCATAAAGTTGAAACATGTACTTTTGAAGGTGATGTGGTTACATTATCTTATAATCATAAATTGAGATATTTTGATATATATGAATCAATTGATGATATCGATTCATTATTGTCGGATTTTACGGTAAATGAGAATATTATATAAAAAATTTTTACTTTTATTTATTATCTTATTTACCTTTTTAAAGTTAATATTAATCATTAATCTTTTTTTTTTTTTACGTCATATTTTTNTTTTTTTTTTTTTTTTTTTTTTTTAGCGGGAGGAATTAGAAGATACCAAGGTATATATATATAAATACAGTATTACATTGAATGTTATTGTTTTGATTTTGATTTTATAAAATCATATTTTTTTTTTAATAATGTATAATATCTTCCAAAATTTATTGATGTATTTACAGAGAAAGTTAAATAATGTGTCGAATGAACTTGAAGATTATAAAAATAGAATTGATTTACTTTCAAGAGAGAATATCAATTTACAGGTAAAATATAACGATAATATAATAAATAATATTGCTTTTATATATTTTTATAATAATCTTATTATTATTATTATTATTATTATTTTAAAAAAAAGAATGAATTACAAAAGTATGATCAATCAATTTGTGATACTGCTACTTCTAGTACAAGAGATACTGTAGTTTCTTCAGATGATGAAAGACTTGAGCCTGCAGATGAAATTACGGATCATTCAACAACATCCAATACAATATATCCAGCAACATCAGAATCAAAGTTTGAAGATTCGATAGCAATACAAGAAGTAAGAGTAGTAATAGAATCAAATTTCAAAGAACTAGAACTTACATCGGAATCAAAATCAACAGCTGCAACTGTAAAAACGCCCAAATTGAAGTCAGCAGCTACATCCAAATCAGAATCAGAGGCGTCAACTCCGGAAACACATAATTTGAGATCAGAAACATCTAAATCAAGATTGGAGACGGCAGCTGCAACTAAACCTAAATTGGGATCAGCTGTAAAAGAAAAAATATCAACAAAAGAAAACGAAAAATTAAATAAAAGCAAAAAACGTAAATTAGAATGTATTTTAATTACTTCAGGAGGTGAAGAAGAAGGTAATAATCGTGATGATGATAATGTTGAAATTATAAATATTAATCCTAAAGATCAAGGATTGAGTCCTTTCCAATCGCTATTACTGGATAAAGGAAAAAAATTACGTGAGATTTTGTTAACCCCTAATGATACACTTGAATCCAATTCAAAAATAATAAATGCCTTACGTGAATTAACATCTAAACCTCTTAATATATTAGATGAAAGTTCTGCTGAAGATAGAATTTATCAATGGCAAAAACAAGAATCACAATGTGAAAAATTTCAACTTGGTGCTGAATCATATAATTTCTTACATTTAATGTCACTTGTTCAGATTTATGATGATATCTTAAGGGTTGGTGAAGAATTAAAAAAAGATCCTAAAAATGATATAGATGATGTTAAACTTTGGGTAATTGAATTTTTATGTGATAAATTGAAAATTGATAGCAAAACAGAACAAAAAAATAGATTAGGATGTAATAGATTACGTAAATTGTTCAATGAAGGAATTACAAGTGACCAACTTGTACAAGCAGGATGTTTTAAAGATGATTTCTTTGTTAAACCAGAAAATTATAGTGTTTTTTTGTCACAAATTCCTTCGTTAAAAAAACGTCGTGATATTTCATTGAACAATTATCTTAAAGAAATATTATCTCTTAAAATTTCTAATATCGATTTAGAAAATCTTACATTCTCTCAATCAAATATACCTAAATTTATGTATAATAATGAAGAATCTGATGATATAGAAGTATTAAGTTTTACAAAAAATACCCAAAATAATGAAAGTATTACTAAAAAGCATAATACATCAAATAAAAAACAAAAAATCAAATTTAAATTGCATTTAGGAAAAGATTTTAACGATATAGCTCATAAATATAAGGAAGATGAATATATTGCACTATAGTTTTTTTTTTATTTTAAGCTTTTTAAGCTTTTTATTTATGTTAAATAAATTAGGATTACTTCTAATTTAATTGTAATTAAGTTTGAACAATTATATTATTTTTTTTTTTTTAATGTCTTTTTATATATAATATTAATAAAGAATTTACTTTTTATAATCACCCAGACGTGATTATATTGGGTTGATAATTATCGGATGATGAAATTACGCAACTATGCAACTTGATCAGTGACCGACCTATAAAAAAGTAGAATTTTTTAAAAATAAACGTGTTGATTGGAAATTTTTACGATCAGCGATCAGCAAACTCAATTCTGATTTGATCACAAGTTTGGATTGGTTAATGGATTTTGCAATCAAAAATCCGAACAATCAGAATTGAAATGGCGGCATAATCCGTACTATGATTGTTATTTTAATGATCAATCAAAAATCGATTGCACGTTATCAGTCGAAGTTAATCATTTTGATTAATCGCGCAACTTGATCGATCGATTCTTCAATTACATGATTCAATTAAATACCTTACCTCACGTCCATTCAGTTTGACATTACGTAAAATTAGTTTTTTTTTAAAAATTCATTAGTGATATATAATATATAGTATCCCTACATTCTCGCCTGTTGTCAAGAAGAATTTCTTATAGATCCTGCAAAAAAAAAATACGAGAAAAAAATATTCCCAAGGATTAAATAAATATTTTTAAATAAAGGATTTTCATATGCAAGTCCTTATATCACAATTAAATTCGCGTCGGGATGCGACGCTCTAATTCATTCATATTACCCGAAATGACCTTATACCTCTGAAAATCATTAGTAGTTTTATCATTTTTTTTGTTATTTTCGCAATGTGGACCTACAGTATAAAATTATCCTTTTGAAAAAATCGCAGCAACTCTGTCAACTCATGGATTAGATAACCATGCAACTCATACGTCAAGCCATTAAGTTATTAAGAAAAACTGAACATCAAAATACAAAAAAAAAGAGGACATAAATATATGTAATTTTATGCATCGTCAAAAAACAAAACAAATGGGCGCCATTTTTCGTCGCGACAAGATTCTCATTCGGTTCATGTTCATTCATATACCGGGTATAGAAAATTTTTCAATACATTTGAGAATGCCGAAAGCCTGTGCAATGTGCCTAACTTTAATTGTATTATAGTATCGTTTGACGATCATACTAACCAAAAAATTCAATAAATATGATTTAGACTTTTCCGGCATTTTTAAATGCTTAAGCTTTTGAGATTATGCTTATTTTAAGTTTAGAATATGCAAGCTTCTATGCATTGGATCCGCAGCCGGCATTGACAAGTTAATATATATTGAAAAAAAAAGCGATGATTAAAAAAAAAAGAATAGTAAAAAAATGAATGTAATACGTAATAAAATGGTAAAATTAAAATGATATTGTAGACGAAAAATAAAAATAATGATTAATTTAGTAAAATGGATAAGGTTGCATAATAATTACCATTTACTTTATATATATATATTTTTTTTAAAAAAATTCTTTATTATTTCTCTTTATTTATATTATTTATTTCATGGGGAGTTGGGAGTAACATGACTTTTTCCCGAAGGGAAAAAAATCCCTAATGTTCTCCTTCTTATGGAATAAATAGGTAATCTCCTGCATGTCACTCATTAAATATTAACTACTTTAAACTTAACTATTTTAAACTAAAATTAGTAATTTCCCGGCTATCTATATGAGGCCGGAAATAAGTAAACGAAGATTCCTGGTCATTTATAAACTCAGCTAATCACTCGCAATTTTAAAAAATTAGTATGAAGGTGATCATGAGTGACACTTAGTGCGATTATTTTAAAAATTTAAAAGGTATTATATTTCACATTGAGATAGGTTTCACTACGGAGTTTCATTTTTTCTTCTTTTAATGTTTATATAAATTAAAACAATAATTTCAGGAATAATTATAATCTTATTAATTAATAATTTGATTTTATTTTTTTAAAAATTAAATCTGATTTTTTTTTATTATTAAACGAAAGTGATATAGTGATCCGCGTCTGGTCTTTTTATTACGAAAGTCAATTAAACGAAAGTTATATTTATCTGGTCTCACCTTTTTGAAATCGGTTGTATATACGAAAAAAAATGGAAAAATTGTATTCACCAAAAATTGTTAATTAGTGTGCCAGCTTTGATTCTTAATTCCACCCAAGATAAATTTAATAAATTAAACTGTTTTATATATTTTTAGGCGTATAGATCCGTTAACAAATCCTAATGATAATCTAGGGATGCATATCTGGATGATATACAAACTTCCAGATGGAGAATTTAATCCGAATTGACATCCTGATTGGCTGTAGAGATCAAAGATAGAATCATTAAGCAAGCTTTCACATGATGTTTTATGTAATAAAACGTATTTCTTGCAGGAGTGTAATAAACAAAAAAAATTAGCACTTTATAAACATCTCAAAGAAGTAATTGAATGTTACAAAACTTTTGTTGCATTTTTTTTTTACCATTTACTATATTATGATTAAATCTATTATTTTATTATAATCTAAAGAAAAAATAGGTAAAATGCACAATTCCGTGTCACAAAAACGCATTATTTGCATAAAAATTTACGCTGAATTTACAATGATTTTGTTCTCATAAAATTCATATGATTTGGTCATTGTTATTACTAGTTATTTAGTAAGCTCATGTGAAATAATAAAAAGATTTTTTAAAGTTTAAACTAAATAAATAAAAATGTATCATATCAAACAACCGTGTGTAATATAAATTTGAAAATCTTACAATGATGTCATAAAATTTAAGTATACATTTCATATACATAAAATTTCATTCTGTATACGTTACTTTCTTCTTAAAAAAAATCTTCAAAATGAATTGCGTATACGGAAACATGTACAAAACGTATCATTTCCCGTATATGTCATTTACTGCTGTGCATTGTGTTCATAACTTTCTGCATCACGTTATGAATGCATCTTTTATCTTATGACACTTGTAACATTTGTTACACCGATTTCATATATATATAAATTATATTATCTAATATGTTTTACCCATGTTATTAGCCGGACACTTTATAAAACAACTAATAATTGTTTTCTTTCACAATCTGGTCAAAAATGACAAATTTTCCTAACGAAAACAATGAATCAGATTTTTACACGAATTGGTTAGAAGAATCGATTATAGGTGATTACTTGAACTATTATGAATATTCCAACTTGAAAAATTTACAACTACTAGCAGGCGGTGGTTTTGGGAGAGTTTACACCGCTAATTGGAAAGATTCTGACGTCACTTATGCAATAAAAGTGTTTAATAATTATAAATCATCCCTTAAAGAAATTGTTAATGAAGTATGTAACAAACATTTTTTAATTATTTAAAATTAAATAAAGCAATCTTTAATTCAAAGTTAATTATTTTCATGTTTAAATTTCTTACAGATAAAACTACATAAAAGAATTGGTCTTCATCCAAACATTGTACAGTTTTGTGGTATCACAAAAATAGAATCAGGTGAGAATTAAAAGATATATAATATATAATAATATATTTATTTAAACTGACAAATTATTTTACTTGCTCATCTTATCCTATTCCAGATACGATTCATCAAAGTATCAAATATTCATTGGTATTAGAATATGCTGATAGTGGCACGTTAGAAACTTATTTGTGCAAACATTTTAATGAACTTGATTGGAATGATAAGTGTAAATTTGCATTTCAATTAACCAAAGCTGTAGCATGGATGCATGGTTATGATATTATCCATCGTGATTTGGTAATAATTGATTTAATTTTTCATCATATCAATTTATTATGAAAAGAAACTAATATGTTTTTCTTTATTTATTTTAGCATGCAAATAACGTACTTGTACATCAAAAAAATATTAAGTTGACAGATTTTGGACTGTCAAGAAAAATCTCTGAAGCATCAAGTAACGCTTCAATCTTTGGTATGATTCCATATATAGACCCAAAAAGACTAGATAGTAGAAATAGATGCTATCAGTTAAATAAGAAATCTGATATATATAGTATTGGAGTACTTATGTGGCAAATATCAAGCGGACGAAAACCATTTCATAATGAGGCTTACGACGTAACATTAGCCTTGGGTATATTATGTGGAAAAAGAGAAAAAAGTGTTGAGGGTACTCCTAAAAAGTATAGTAATTTATATAAAGGTAAATTATCACATTTATATTTAATGTATATTTTTTTTTTTTGAAAATAAAATCATAATTTTATCTATTTGTTAAATTTTAAATTAGGATGTTGGAAACTTGAAGAAAATGAGCGTCCAAAATTGAAAGAAGTTGTTTCAATACTTAGAACGATGATCGATCCTGAAGTGATTAATGCGAGTAACGTAAAAGAAGAAAATTACTTAATTACAGAAGAGACAATCATGAATGATAATTTTAAATCAAATGAATCAATTGGAAATATAGATGTGAATAGTGGATTAGCAATAGGATCAAATGAATCAAGTAAAAATATGGACTTGTATCGTGGATCAGCGGTAGAATCAAATGAATCAAGTGAAAATATACGTGATATAGCGAGAGAAGATACATCAAGTACATCATTATTAAATGAAAATAGCTGCTCATCGAATGAAGTTTTCAAAAATGACAAAAATGCGTTTGATTTAGTTAAGAAATTTGCCGAAGAAAACTACATAGATGCTCAATATCAACTTGGATATTATTATGATAAAGGCATTGGTACTGAAATAGATAAAAATATGGCTTTTCAATTATATCTAAGGGCTGCAAATAATGGAAATGATGATGCGCTATATGAACTAAGTTTATTATACGAATCAGGAGCTGTCTCTTATACACATCTAGATGTGTATAAGAGACAGCTATATGAATTAAGTTTATTATACGAATCAGGAGAGGGGGTTGATAAAAATGAAAAAAAGGCATTTAAATTAATTAAGGAATTGGCCGAAAAAGACCATGTAAATGCTATGTTTATACTTGGAAATTACTATAAAAAAGGAACCGGCACTGAAATGGATAAAAAGATGGCCTTTCAATCATATAAAAAGGCTGCAGAAAATGGAAACGATGATGCGCTATATGAATTAAGTTTATTATACGAATCAGGAGCTGTCTCTTATACACATCTAGATGTGTATAAGAGACAGAATCAGGAGAAGGGGTTGATAAAAAAGATGAAGCAATGGCATTTGAATTAATTAAGCAATTGTTCGAAAAAGACCATATAAACGCCATTTTTCAACTTGGATATTATTATGACGAAGGCATTGGTACTAATCCTGATGAAAATGAGGCCTTTCGATTATATAAACTAGCCGCGGATAAAGGAAATAATGATGCGAAGTGTAAATTATTATTTCTTGAATTGATAGAAGAAAATTCAGATGTTCAATTTCTGTCCGGATATTACTTTGAAGAAGGAATTGGCACTAAAAAAGATAAAAATATGGCTTTTCAATTATACGAAAAGGCTGCAAAAAATAGAAACGATGATGCGCTGTGTAAATTAGGTTTATTATACGAAACAGGAGAGGGGATTAATAAAAATGAAAAAAAGGCATTTCAATTAATTAAGGAATTGGCCGAAAAAGACCATGTAAATGCCATGTTTATACTTGGAGATTACTATAAAAAAGGAATTGGCACTAAAAAAGATAAACATAGGGCCTTTCAATTATATAAAGAGGCTGCAGAATATGGAAACAATGATGCGCTATATGAACTAAGTTTATTATATGAATCAGGAGAGGGGGTTAATAAAAATGAAGAAATGGCATTTAAATTAATTAAAAAATTGGCCGAAGAGGATTATATAAAGGCCTTTTCGAAACTTGAATGGTATTATTACAAAGGAATTGGCACAGAAATCAATACAAAAAAAGCGATTGAACTACGTGATATAGATGTAATGATGAAAAGTAATGAAACACAACACAAAATAAGTTTATTAGTACGTGATTTAAAAGGAATTGATGTAGAAGAAGAAAGAGCATTTAAACTACTTTTTGCATTGGCAGTAAAAGAATATCAAGATGCTCAATTTATACTGGAATATTACCATAAAAAAGGAATTAAAAATAGTATTAATGTGTTAAAAGCATTGGAATTATATAATAAAATTTTAGAAAAGTATATCGATAGCGATGCACAAAATAAGTTAAAACTACTATGCAGACTATGGGAAGGAAATATTTTCTATGAAGTAGTTAAAAATAATATAAAAAATAAGAAACAAACAACCAATATGAATAATATTTTATTAATTATAGTAGCGTTAATTCTGTGTTTATCATTCTTTATTAGTAATTATGGATTAACAAAGAATATTGAAGGTAAATTTGCATTAGAGAAACATGATATAAAATTTTATAATTTAGCTCAATACTACATCAAAAAAGATGCTCGCAGAGCTTTTAAATATTATAAAGGGTCAGCAAAAAAAGGACATTCAAAAGCTCAGTTTAAACTTGGAATGTGTTACAATTTTGGAATTGGTACTAAGATACATAAAAAGAAAGCATTTCATTTATACACAAAATCTACAATATCTGCAAAAGAAGGCCATAATGTTGCACAATATGAATTAAGTATATTATACGAGACAGGAGAAGGAGTTAATAAAGATGAAAAAAAATCTTTTGAAATAATTGAAGAATTAGCTAATAAGGGAGATGTAAGTGCTCAACATAGACTTGGTTACTATTATGAAAAAGGAATTGGGACTGATGTAAATATATTAAAAGCACTTGAATTATATCATACGGCTGCAGAAAACGGAATCACAGAGGCTATAAAAAGTTCATCTAGTTTACTATTTAAATTAGGAGAAAAAATTATAAAAGGTGAGACTAAAGCATTTGAAATAGTTGAATTATATCAAACAGCTAAGGATAATGGAAATTTAAAGGCTATAATGAGTTTAGAAAGGTTACTGTATGAATTAGGAGATAAGAGGAAGGCATTTGATATAGTCAAAGAATTGGCTGATAAGGGATATGCAAATGCTCAACATAGACTTGGATACTATTATGAAAAAGGAATTGGGACACATATTAATATACTAAAAGCACGTGAGTTATATACAATGGCTGTAATTAACGAAAATGTAGAGGCTTTAAAAAGTTTAAATGATCTAATATCAAATCACGGTACGTAAAAAAAAAAATTATATATGCGTTTGATAAATAATTTATTAATAATCTTTTCATGAAATATAGCGATATATAATGAATTACGCTAAGTAAATTTTCGAAGTAAATTGTTTTTTTTTTTTTTTTCATTTGTTTTATTTTTAAAGTTATCTGTTATACTTAATTTACTTTGGTGTAACATAACAAATATTTAGAAGTTTGTAAATGGGTTACAGAAAAATAAAGTTTTTCGTTCAATTTAAAATTTTGTTGCAAGAATAGTTAACAGCTTAATAAATATATTTAATAGTGATAAAAGTCATTTCAGTTAATAAAATAAAATAATAAAATTATTTTTTTATAACGTTAGTAATAGTTTCGGATTACGGCTAAACAATTAGTGTGATCGGTATGACTGTATTAGTCTGATGATGACTAAGTAATAACTTAATTCCGGCCGGAATTAATTAAAATAGATATATTTATTAATTTTCAAACACGATTTTTTAGTACACACTACCTATTACGGATATTAACAACTTTACTGGCAGCCAACACTATTTGTAGCCATATTTGTAAAAATTTTTTGTAGTTATTCAGAACACAAAAAAAAATTTAACATACATTTCTTTATAAATAATTGTTTTTAGATTCAAAGTCAGTGATAATGATTCCTTTACGTTTACTGAGATTTCCCCTGCGTACCCTTCAAAAATGTCACGAAAATTCACGTGACTGTTTTTTGTCACATCCGTCACACCCTTCCTTGTTTCCATTTTTCATAAGTATCTGAGGGACTTAGTTTTTTTCGAGTAAGTAAAAACGTATTCGTCACTCCCTTATTCGTCACTGTTTATTTTCACGTGTTAGTGCATAACGCCGTAATGCCGGCCGTTTCGTAACATTTTTGAAGGGTACGCAGGGGTAGTCGTTTACTGATGACTGCGGTTCGATAAACGACCAATAATATTGCTACCTTTTTTTTAATAAACGTGGCAAATATACTATGATGTGTTTTTACTTCGCTTTCAAATCAGCTCCAAAATCTTACGGTCATTTAACCGGTTAAACTTAATTTTGGCTGAGCACCTACTTAATTCTGACTTTAACCGGTTTAGTTAACAGCCTTAACTAGCTTTAATCTTAAATTAACAATTAATGAGGCTTTCAAATGATGTAATCGTAAAAAATAAAAATTTGAAAGTACGTGTTATCGAAAAAAAGAATATATATATATATAATTACGAAGAACGTACCAAAAAATATTCATGCATTTAAAATATTTGCTATTGATCTTTGCTTTTACTATTGTTTCATCGGGTAATATACAGTTTTTTATGACTTAATTTTCCTTTTTTAACATTAATATTAATTAGCAAATTATTCAAATATTAAAATCTTTTTATAAATAACGTAGGAGCTTTTGTTGTAAAACGAGAAGGTAATTAATTTTCAATCTTGAATGCACCTCAAAAACTCTTTCAAAATCTTGCTGATATTAAAGATTTAATAGTAAATGTACCATTTCCACCGCGACCAAAACCCGGTTCATGAAGATACGTGGAATATATTCAATTAATGTAATCGAGAGCTCATGAAGATTATCCTCCAAAAGATCGAAAATAGTCGTCAGATAAAGGTAGACATTATTGATTATGGTTGTTCTAAATATAAATATGATAATTATATTTTATTAAAACGTGACGTTAAATTAAAATTAAAAAACGAGTACCTTAAAACGATAAATTAGATTCAACTTATAAATAAACAAATTTTGTACATTAAATACATTAAATTTTTTGTATGTAAATTTAAAACTTAATATTATTCAAGTGATACTCGAGTTGCGGTTGCTTGTTCGAAATGATACTTTATATGTCACATTATTGATTCAATTAATGGTGCAATGTAGAATACTCTCGTACGCCTTATCATTCACTATTAATATGGAAATCTAAAAATTATTATAAAGGATCGAAAAACGTACTAAGCTTAAGTAAAGATAAGTTAATCAGTTAGACTTGATTCACTTAAACTATTAAATCCAGTGATACAAATCATGTTTTTAAAAGGCAAGTTTGACATCATATTTTGGCGACTAAAAACATTTGTTTCAAACATATTAAACTTAATTAGCCTCAACAAAAGCTCGCGTAATCATAATATTTTTAAGTAAAATGTATTATATACGTTGATTACGAATAATCGGTTATTATGTCATAATTATATATTTTTATTTTTTATTTCACCATTTCAAGCCGAGAAAATACAAAGGAAAGAAAAAAAGAAGTTGTCGGCATATAAAATCACTATGAATTTGATAGGTTAAAATCATTTTTTTTTTATTTCTCTCTTTAATGAAATTCATTAAGAAGCTTGCTAATGCCACACTTCTCAATTACATAGACGTTGAAAGATTAATAATAAAGCACTGCACACGCCACACACTAATATAATCCCAGTTTTCGTTTTATAATTTTTATAATTTTAAAAAACTATAAGTATTACCAGAAAAAGTCCTGCAGAAAAACTTTCACTTGACAATAAATTTTTTTGGAATAGTTAAATTATTTTTCCGTACTTATTGTTACCAATCTTCATAAATCCGTTATCATTAGGATCTGTAGAAGATTCTTCATCAAAAACTTTAAGGTCATATGACTTTCATACTGATATTTAACACTCTTGCTGAACTTTTTACCAAAAAAAAGCTTGGGCTTTTTATCGTTTTTCCAAAATATTCCAACTTTTTATGTAAAACATCTTTGGTCGATATTTCTCTATTTTCCAAAAAAAAAAAAATTTACATAATCTATAAAAAAAAGAATAATAAAAGTTGATTTTAATAAGGAGAAACCAAAAAAAAAAAAAAATCAAAAAATATAACATAACCTATAATGAAAAGAATGACAAAAGTTAGTTTAAAATTAATTCAATCTTTGACAACTTTCTTCCTGGACAAACTCTTAATCCTCCACCAAATATAATAAACGAATTTTTCTTTGGTTCAAAACCTTTAACCATCCATTTATCAGGATTAAATTTATTTAGTTCTTCCCAATATTCTTCATTATTATGAATAGCATCAATATTAATTCTAATTATTGTTTCAGCTGGCCCATTGATAACCTCCTATTTCATCAGAGTTTTCAAGACAACTTAATTTACGACTGAAAAAATACGAGATACTTCTTTTACAATCGCTTCACGATATGTTAAATTATAAGTAACTAGACGTGTTTTGTCGTCTTGAAAGATTCGTTCAATATTTTCTTTTTTAACATCTGGATATCTGGATAATGTGAAAGATAATAATAAATAATGAATGAGATAGTATTTGCAGTACATTGAAGGAAAGAATAAATGTTAGATTAATTTTTAACTCTAAAAAATTTTATTAAAATTGACAAAAGTATTAAGAAATTTACTCACAATATCAGTTCCATCAATTATTCCATTGAAAATAATACCGCAAATTTCGGAATCAGTCATAGGTCTCATAACTTCTTTATCATTAATTTTAATACCACAAAGTGTCAAAAGGTCGTTTGTTAAAGTTTATCTAATGGAGTATTTTATCTACGTACATCTTTTGATAATTACATCAATTCTTTGATCTATGAATTTGATGTTTTGAATAAGATTAACTTAAAATATAGAAAATAATGTCTTAAAAAAAGGAGATACTAACGAATTGCTTAAACAAATTTTACTGTCTCATCAACTAATGCAGATATCATTTGTGAATTGATTAAACTATGTAGAAATATCCATGAATTTCATTAAAAAGTTTATTTATCATTCGTTGACAAATTTTGATAAAATAGCTTGCGTCGATTATTTATAATCTTGATTTAATAATATTCCCTTTCCCATTATCTCTAATTCATGAAGTTCTCTAGTCTCTACCATTTTTATCAGAAAATTTTCTAATATATGGATTTTTTGATGAGGCTAATAAAAGCTTTTCAATATATTCTATTCAATAAATCTTTTTATTATAAAAGTTATTTATTTATCCGGTATCACGTGATTTTTATAATTTTAAGTCGTGTCTTTTTCAAATTACGTGATTCCGGATAAATTACTTATTCGGCGCTTTAAGTTCATAATATAATATCCACGCAAAATATCATTTCTTTTCTTTGCAGCTTTTTCTAGCTTTAAAATTATTAACGCAGAGTAATTGTTAAAATATAGAATAAATAAACTATTTTAATTTAACTTTTTTCGTGTAATAATTTAAAAATATTTCAAAGATCTCCATATGGGTGTAATTGAAACAAAAATTTCACATTTTAATGTCATCTTAGCAACAATTTAATCTACAGTAAATATATATCCTCATAGAGTTATTAAAATTTTTTTCTCCCCGTACTTTTTCTCCTAAATCTTTTAATATCATTCTCCAAGTAAATAATAGTTTATAACTTTATATAACATGAGATTCAAATCTGTACTTTGCACTTTGTTTTTTTTTTTGTTTTTTTGCTTATATAAATAATCTTTTACAGAAAAACCTTGATCCTCAATAAAAGTCTTTGCCATAATGTTAAAGAATATGTTAAATATAAAAAACTAATGAAATGATCTATAGATCTGGATGTTACACAAGATTCAGATTATGGATCGTGATTCAAATTCAAAACAACTTTTATATCTAAGGCACACTTTTAAACATTTCTTAATTAACTAACACTTTCCCTACTTCTTTACTTTAAAGTCCAGTATTTCCTACAGAAAAAAAATAATAGAAGAGAAATGTTAATACGTTCTATAATAAATAAAATAAAATTCTTTACCCCAAGACCAGTTTCGTCCTAACAGGTATTCCTACAGAAAAAAAAAAGAAACGCTAAGTTAATAATATTTCGGTTTGATAAATATATCTTAGTAGTAGTTCGAGTTCGAGAAATGAGGAAAAAAATGACTAATTTTAATAAAAGTTTAATGTTTAGCAAAAATTCAAACTTTAATTTGATATGTATTAATTAACAAACGACCAAAAAAAAATCAGCCAAATTTTAGTCTTGATATCTCTATGAAAACTATTAATACATAAAGTTTTCAATTATACTAAATTAACGCTTAAAAAAAAAAGCCACAATGAAAATATATTGTGTCTAACAATTTTTGTTAAAGATGTTACGTCAATTTTTAGCACAGTCATGTGAAATTGGGTCCGGATCATCAGACCACACGGTCCAGTGACTCGCTTAAAATTACTTGGGTCCGATTGATTGATTATAAAGCTTGCTGTTTCGCTTTATAATGAGTTATTATAAAAATTTTTTTTTTACTATTAAATATTTAATGAGATAATGGTTTTAGTAGATGATAGAGTATATATAAATTTCTAAGAACCTTTTGTTTCAATAAATTAAAATGCAATTAATTTTTGTTACAAGTTTTTAAACATTTTATTGTACAAAAAATGTTTATTTAAATCTACAATTAATAAAAAAAATAAAATGTAGATCGGTCATGTAGAATTAGTTTGGTCCGATTGATCAAAATCACAGGACTCAGCAAAGTTAACTCAGTCCGATGGTAGCGAAGTCTGATCAAGGTTTAAATTCGGTCTGCATCAAAATTCATATGACTGTGCTAAAAAATTGACATGACTGGACTCAGAAAGATCATCGGACCAGACTCAGTAAAGATATACTCATCTTAGGGCGTAAAATGGCGTTAAAATTAGTGAACGAAAATAATTTAAAGATGATTTTCAAAAAAAGTATTAGGTTTTGACAATCTGCGAGAAGTCGCCATACCACCATACCCATATGGAAAGCCGCTATGGTCAAAAGTGCGTAGCAAAACATAGCGTGTATACGCTATGTTTTGTAGCGCGTATACATTATATTTCACGGCGGATTACCCCTGTTCTGTCTGTTTCAGGGGTAACCTGTTGCAAAAAATAGCGTTTAATTACTTTAATACGCTATATTTCATAGCGTTATATACGTTATATGTTATGACGGGTACCAGTTATAAGAAACGGCGGGTACCTGTTATAAGGAACGGCGGGTACCCATTATAAGAAACGGCAGGTACCCGCTATAAGAAATGGCAGGTACCTGTTATAAGAAACGGCGGGTACCCGTTATAAGAACTGGCAGTCAGCATATTAACTTTTGATAAACATCAATAATGATAATTATTTATTTAATGAAATTTTATTTGACAAATATTAAAATTTAAGTCACACATTTACGATTTTAAAGAAAAAAATCACCATATTTATTTTTATTGAAGTGTACAAATAAAATTAACAATAACAATAAATAAAAAAGATAAGTAAATTACAATGATCAAGGATCAAGGAGAAAGATGCTAATAAAAAAATGAAATAACAGTGGAGTAATGGAAAGTAATAGAAGATGAAAGGGAGTAAAAAAGAGTAATGAGAAGTGATAGGAAGCAAAAAGGAGAAATAGGACATAATGAGAGATGAAAAGGAGTGATGGTAGACGAAGAGGAGTGATGGGAGACGAAAAGGAGCGATGGGAGATGAAAGGAAGTGATGGGAAGATGAAGAGAAGTAAAAATTTATTAAAATTGTAAATTTAATAAAAAATTTTCCAATAAATTTTTTATAAAAAAAAAGATCTCTAATGAAATTCTTTATTAAAAAAAATTTTCAAGCCAAAATTCTCGATACACTTATTAAAAAAAACTATTTTCAATAAAATTTTCTATTAAGATTTCTAAACAAAATTCTCCATCAAAAAAATAAAAAAATTTTTCAGCAAACAATTCTCTAATGAATTCTCAATCAAAAAAAATATCCCGATTAAAGAAAAATTCAAAGATTCTTACCACCTATTAAAAAAAATTCTCAAAAGAATTTCTATACCAAAAAAAAAACTCCTCTCCTATTAAAATAAAAAATCTTTACCGAAATTCTCTATCAAAAAAAATCTCCCTGTTAAAAAAATTTACACTAACGAAATTATCTATCAAAAAAAAATTCTATGATGAAATTTCTATCAAAAAAAAAATATTCTCAGCGAAATCTATTTAAGAAAATTCTTTAATGAAATTCTCTATCAAAAACAATCCCCCTATTAAAAAAAAATTCTCTAATAAAATTCTCCGTCAAAAAATACTTTCACCTATTAAAAAAATTCCCAAAAGAAATTCTTTATTAAGGAAAACTCCTTCAATTAAAAAAAAATTCGTAACAAAATTCTCTATCAAAAAAAATTTCACTTGTTAAAAAATTTTCTAACGA